TGTCTTGAATATAAGCTGCTCCAGAGCTGCTCTGGGGCTTCTCCCCTTTTCAGTAAGCAGCTGATAGGAATGGCTCGTCTGCATGGGGCTTCTTCAGGGCCCTGCACGGAGCTCCCCCCTCCCGTGTTCATTGTGAACTCAACACATGTTTGTCATGTGCTTGCCCTGCACCCGGTTCTGTCCTCTCAGTCCTGAGGGTGCTGTAGGGACGTGGGGCTCCTATTCTAGTGAAGTGACATACTGTGGTGATGGCCATGGCAGGAATGTGGCCTTAGGTCGTTAGGATCGTAGAGTGCTGTTGGGTGGCCTCCCCGCAATGGGCCAGCCAGGTTGCTGGGGGCCCGCCACGTGGGGGGCAGCAGGGGAAGGACTCCGGGCATGCCCGGTGACATTGTGTGCTGGACTCAGCAGTAGGTGGTGAGGTCGGACCCACAGAAGCTGTCTGATCGCAGGCGGTATTCCTGTGCCTTTCCAGGTGGCTTCAGCCTGGCACGAGGCCTTGCTTCCTGACAGGCCCTTGCTGTATGCAACACGGGGAAAGTTGAGTTCTTCTCATTGCCAGTGAGGAAAGGAGAGGCTTTTGGTGATAACCTGTATTTCCAAACTTTAAATGGGGATCAAGCCTACTTTAAAAAGTAAACTTTCTTTGAAAGGAAAATACAAGCTTAGAACTCTGTTTTTCAGGGTTCTCATCTGACATTAATATTGCCAGCCATAAATAATAATTACCAGTCTCATACCCAAAATAACAATGAAGAGAATTTTTGTGGTTTTTATTCACTAAATAAAATTGTCAGAAGAGAATTATTTGGAGTTTTTATTCACTAAATGTTCATGTTCTCAGTTCCCAGTTTAAAAATCCTCAGATCATGACAGTGTTACATATTTATCACCCAAATGTGTATACATATTGTATACCTTAAAATAGGCAAATAATATTGTATTGGTGTAAGCTCCTCATTTTAAGTTAAAGTTTCCTGTCTAGATCATCTTGTTTTTAGATTTGGATTGCTAAAGAAAACAGTTGGGGCAGTATTCATCCCTTTCCGTCATCAGTGGGTCATTCTTGCAGGCCCCGTGTCCTAGCCATCTGTGTGGATGGCGTCACACCTTCTGATGCACACAGTGGTGCTGCTGAGCCACATGGGAGCCTTTCTAGTGTAGTGACACTGAGGAAATACATAAGTCCTGATTGACAGTGGCTGTAACCTAGTGTCCCGACACTGTAATCTTTTTCTGTGGTGCATTCAGAACTACTCAGTTTTTAAAAGTATGATCTACTATTTATTGATTTATTCTGTAAATATCTCAATATCTTCTACATGCATAAGAAATTCCAGCTTGGTGAACAAAATAGACTTACTATGGCTTCTCTAGATACTTACAAGATAAACACGTGTTTTAGGTGTCCTCAGACTTAGACCCTGTTGGGCTAGGAAGTTTATTTAGATCCCTGAAGTTCAGTGAATGGGAGACTTGCCGATGGAACCAGTTCATTGCTCCACATGAGTGATGAGCAGAAAGTTGGGTTATCAGTAGACTGTTGGGTGGCTAAGCTGCATGGGGATCTTAGTGGGCCAGTGCCACCTGTGGGCCTGGGGGCTAGTGTGCAGTGTCGGCACATGTGAAAAAGGGAAGTGTTTTTAAGGGCAGTATAACTTAACACATGCATAGACAGTTTATTAATCTTATGCTGATGTATTCTCAGTAGGATTTCTGATAAAATTAACAAATGATGGCTCACTGGCTTTCAAGAAAGATGGGTATATGTGGTGTATATATCATTAAATTTTTCAAGTGTTTAGAGGAGAAAATTTCAAGTATATATGAAACTAGAGAGTTCACATAGCTTTTTAAGATAAAGACTGAACAATTATTCACTTAGAATAGGCCATCCCTGCCTGGCTGGGGTATTGCTCACACTTGGGGTAGAAGACCTGTGGAGAAGTTTCAAGAAGCACAAACCAGCATCTTGTTTATGTGGATCATGGCCTGCCTTTCCATAGTACTTCCATTTTTGTTTGGGCATACTCCTCCGTAAGGTAGGAGTGACTCCCGGCAAGATCAGTACCTTTCAGGCACTTACAATGCCCATGATAGAGGAAGAATCGTAGAACGTTAGGGGAGACCCACCTGGTTCAGCTGTTCACAGCCCTAACTAGGAACACGCCGATATGTGGGTCCCAGCTCTGCAGTGTCTAATCAGGTAGTTCTGGATTCAAGCCCAAGTGACTGATGGTAAGTAGAGAATCCTTGACTAGTCTGTGGTAATTTGAAAAGTGGTCTTGAGAAAGCACTCAGCCTGTCACCACTAAGTGTGATGTGAGTGTGTTTGTTAACGAATGCTTTTTCTGCGTCCTTGCAGGTGATAGTGTGATCCTTTGCTCTATTAATGTGGTCTGTTCCTTTGACTTTTGAGTATTAAACCAACTTTGCATTCCTGGGATAAATGGTATACAATCCTTTTTCTGTGTTGGTGAATTTAGTTTGCTAATATTTTGCTGGGGATTTTTTCCATGTATGTTTATGAGAAATACTCTTTCATGGGTTTATTTTCTTTTGGTTTCTTTGTCTGGCTTTTTGTGTCAGGGTAGTTACCAGCTTCAAAGAACAAGTGGGAAAGTTCCTCCTCTATTGTGTAGAATTCTTAGTCTTTCTTCCTTAAATAGTTGATAAAATTCACCAGTGAATCTGTTTGGGTCTGGATGTTTTCTCTGAGGGAGGTTTTTAATTATCAATTCAGTGCTCTGATTTTTAGATTATCTCTTCTTGAATCAGTTTTTGTATCTTGCATCTTTTATGGAATATGTCCGTTATCTAAGTTGATAAGTCTAATTTGTTGATATAAAGTCGTTCATAACATCCTTACTCATTTCTGTAGGGCCAGTTTTGATGACCCCCCTTTTGTTCCTGACTTTGGTCATTTGTGGCTTCTCTCCTGTTTTCTAAGGTTAAAGGTTATCAGGTTTTTTGGTCTCAAAAAACCAACTTTTGGTTTCATTGATTTTACTGTTTTTCTTTACCATGTCATTGTCTTTTGCTGGGATCTTACTGTTTCCTTCTGTTTTGGGTTTCATTTTCTTTTTATTCCCCCACCCAGCTTCTTGAGATAAAAGCTCAGATTATTGATTTTAGATCTCTTCTTCTCTTACGTAACTGCTCTAGTTGCATCCCCTAGATTTTCTATGTTACATTTTTGTTTTTATTCAGTTGAAAATACTTTCTGTTCAGGTTTTTATTCTTACTTTTATTTCTTAGCCCAGCTTCCTAGGGGTCAACCCCATTGCTGCATCACTTAGCGGCCAGCCAGTCATTCAGGAGATCGTGTCCAGGTGCCTTGAGCCCTCAGCTGGGGGTTGTGGTTGGGTGGGAGCATGCACTCAGAGCCCACCTCTGCCAGCCACCCTGGGGTGCCCCACGTACGTGTGGCTTTCCTGTCCGCCGTGTGGGGAGGACTCACCTAGGCCGTCAGGAGCGCTTCCATCTCTGGATGTCCTCGTGTCCTCATCAGGCTTCTTGGAGCTCTGGCTGGTGTGCTGGCATTGCGCACAGGCCTGAGACCAGAGGCCGACGGTTTGTGGGCGCCGCGTTCCCTTCCCACCGAGGTCACCACCTCTGCTGACAGTGCGCTGGGGGTTGTTCTCAGGTCTCCACGCCAAGCCAGCTCTCTGGGTTTTCCAGCCCTGCCCCATGCTGGTGAGACTGCTGTGTGGCCTGGTGGAGCCCTGACAGGAGAGGCCAGGCCAGGTACAGCAGTCCTCGGGAACAGAGGCTCCTGAGTCAGACGCTTGTTCTGGGCGAGAAGGTTTGCTGTCCTCTTCATGCCGCCTGGCCAGAAATCCCACCCCATGTGACACTTTGAATCTCACTTTCTATAAGTCCCATTACTTCGGGCAGCTTTTACAAAAATGTTACCTGTAGTCTTCTTGCTGCAGCCCCTGTTCTTTCCTTTCATTCCATTAAACTCTCTCTAGAAGATAAGTTCAAAGGGGAAAGAGAGAGACAGAATATATGGGCTGCTTCTGAGCTAATTTACCAATTTCCTCTTGGAAGTACTGGCAGAGCTGAGCAGCCTACTAACTACTGACTCATAAACTTCTGCTTATGTAAGGAGTAGAGCCTCATGCTAATAAAAAGTCTAGTAAATCTTAACTTTTCACGTTCAGGCATCCATTTCTATTAAGATCATATAATTTAGTAGGGCAAGATGTGGTCATCTTGTCATTCACTCTTTCTTTCCTGGCCACCAGTTAGTTTTTTGGAAAAGATGCTGCACTTAATAATGAAAGACAGTCACCATCCAGAGATATTTTTTATGCTGCCTGGTGGTATCATGAACATCAGTAGTGCAGCTGGAATGTATTCTTGCTCCCCAATTGATTAATGGTACAAGAGTTCCTCTTCTGGAGTAAATGGCCCTGTGGGTGGTGACGGCAGTTGTGACGCAGCAGGAGGAGGGTGGCGGGGAGCACTGTGTTGAGAGGAGAGGGCGAGGGTGCTGAGGGTTGGACCTGCAGGGGAGGCCGGCCTGGCTGGGCCATGCTGCCCCCACAGTTTACAGCCACGACCCACAACCCACAGGGGGCGAGCCAGAATGGTGACCACCTGGGTTAGCTTTGAATAGGTTAAACGTTTCAAGTCACTGCTTATGCAAACTGTTAGATTTTAGCTAGAATGTTCATGAAAATGGGAAATGTTAGTGTATTTTTTAAGTTAAACAGTATTTCACTGAACTAAACAACTAAACTTTAATCACAGACCTCTTAAGTAAATAGAGTAAGTAAAGATATTAGTATTAAATTTCAAAATTATTATCAAAATCCAAACACCATCAAATGAGAAATTTCCTTCATGGCTCTAGTGAAATAACAGGCTTGGTTTCCCACTTGTGTGAAATGGTTTAGTCCTCTGCTGCACCCCAACTGAGGCTGGCTCCCCGATCTGGGGAGGGGTGGGGCTGCTCAGAAACTGACCAGTGTGCTGGTTTTTGGTTTCAACAGGGAGGAGAGAGTGATGGCTTTTCCCACTCGGAGGGCCAACCGCAGCGGCTCCCGCAGCCCCTGGAAGTAAGACAGCAGCCTGCCCGCAAGGTGACGCTGACCAAGGGGGCCCTTCAGCAGCCCCAGCACCCTCCCATGGGGACCCACGTGCACCCAGCTGGCCCTCCAGGCATCAAGAACATCCAGGGAATTCATCCGGCCAAGAAGGTACTGCCTGTTAGCATCCTAGCTAATGTGTAGATGGCCTTGTTAGGACAGGCGAGAAGACAGGCCTCTTTCGTGACTGCCTGGGGACGCAGCACTCTCACATAATGAATACATGCACTGTGATTTCCTTTGTTCTGGCTTTGAAAGCCAGCATGTTCACAAGAGCGCATTTCTTCTCATGACTTACGGAATGGAACAGCTCCGAAGTCACCCACGAGCAGGGTGCGGTTGTGTCCTGCAGCGCTGATCTGTGCCCTGGATACGTCCCAGCCCGGAGCTCTCCTCCCTGGCCTGCTGGTTTTCCAGAGACACAGATGGAGAACCAGGTGTTAGCGCTGCCATTTCCTCCTCATTGCTGCAGTCCACAGGTGGGAAACTGAGGTCATGGGGGTGGAGTTTGAATTCACTGCCCAAGAAAATGGCTCTGACCTTGCTTTTCCTGCTTCCTGCCCCCTTGGATGGAAGGCGTGTTTGCCTTCTGAGCTCAGTCTGTCAGGGGGCCTGGGCCTGGTGGGGAGGGACTGGTCTCTCACACTGTGAATTCAAAACCTTCCCTAGGTGAGGAGTGGCCCCCCGCCATCCTGCCATCGTGTCCTGGTGGAGCACCAGCACCCCCACAGCTCCACGGAGGGCTGTCTCTGTGGCTTTCCCAAGGCCATCGGCTCTCTGCCTGGCAGTGAATCTCCCCCTGGGCACAGAGGCCAGACACCCCCTCACTGATGAACTTATGCAGAGGAGGAAGAGGGTGGCACCTGCTTTGAATTTCTTCTAGAAAGCTCTGCAGTCTGCTTCAGCTCAGCTGCTTGTTTCACTGCTGACACTAAGTGGTAGCATTAACTGAAGACAATTCTGGGCCTTTGGAGTATTTAAATTCCTTTGTATATATTATCTCATAAGTACTTTATGATGTAGGAGCAAACAAAATTACTCCATTTTTGTAGACGACAGATAGTGCAGACTTTAAGTCATACCTTTAAGTGTAGTAAAGGTTGTTCAGTCTGAACTGTCCTCAGTCTGGTGGTGTCCCTGGAAATGTGATAAGAAAGAAAGACCTTAGAAACTGCCTCTGTACAGCAATGTGCATAAATAAGCACTCAGATTTCTTCAGCTTAAACCTCATGTTATTCTCCTGGAAAATGAGGACAGTGGTGTTTCCTATTTTTTGGGCTCTTGTGAGGATTTTATAAGAAGATGTATGATAAGTGTGGTGCCTTGTGTATAAGTAAGTATTTGGTAAGATACTAATATTAGAATTTGTTATAGTTAGAACACAAGAATAGTTATTTACTGCTGTTTTCCAGCCAGTGTAACTTGCAACTTTTGATGTGTTTTCCAGTGTGAATTCTCCTGAAATATCCTTTTCCACTTACCAAAAACTTACTTCATAGGAGTGGTTTTGTTAACCTACAGAATGTTAAGAAATGTTGTGGTTCGTGTGTTTCCCCTTTTGTGGTGCCCATTTGTGTCCTAAGCTTCCTTTCTGGTTTCCATCCGCCTTATTGCCCTTTTTTCTGATGGAATGGGAGGTCCTTTGTGTCCCTTTGCACCCAAACTCCAGGCAGAATTTGGGTCGGTACATTGGAGGGGTTTTGTTTTACAGAAAACACTTGTTGCTGGTGCTTTATCTAATTTCATAATTAGAAAATACCAGAACAGTCAGCTGTCATTTCTTTTTCAAAGGGTCTCAGAACAGCAGTTTTGAACCCTGGACAGCTTTAAAAAGGTCTGTGTCTCACCTTAGACCAGTGACATCATAATTTCCATGGGACATGGTAGAACTCGGCCATTGTTGTGGTTTGCATTTTTGGGTTTTGCTTTCAAAGCTCTGTAGGTGATTATAATGTATAGCAGCCAGGAGGGAAACTGCCTTTCAGGTTCTCAGAATGACAGGTGCACATATTTACAAGGAGGTGGGTGTGCGACATGTGGTTTTTGCTGACTGAGGGGGGCACCGCCCACAGTTCTGATGCCCACTGAATCGGCCTGTCGCCCGGTGGGAGAAGTTCAGGCTCTGGGGCCGTTAGGACTGACCCAAGTAAGTTTGGGAGCCCCAGTGGCCCTGCTGCTTTACCTGCAGAACGGTGGTGACACAGGAAGTGCCCTGGAACATGGTTGGCCCCATGCCAGATTCAGACTTGGGTGTTTTCTTTTCCTTCACCCAGATTTGCTGGGTATTGTTGTCTTACTTAGACATTAAACTCTTTAGTGATAGTAGATAAAAACTACAGAAAATCACTTTACATTACATGCTCACTTTTGTATCTTAGTAGCTGTGAAAACACCCATGGCTTAAAAATCAAACGCTTCCTCTTGTTGCCAGGTGGTCGTGCATGGGAGAGGCCGAGGAATGGCAGGGGCCATGGGCCGCGGGCGCCCGATGCCGAACAAGCAGAACCTGCGGGTGGTGGAGTGCAAGCCGCAGCCCTGCGTGGTGTCTGTGGAAGGGCTGTCTTCGTCCACCACCGACGCGCAGCTCAAGAGCCTGCTGGTGTCCGTGGGGCCCATCCAGGTGGGCCGCCTGTGTCCTCTGTCCCGTCCCAGCACAGCTGTGTCATGATTCAAGTCCCTTTATGTTGGTTACTTCATGTTAAAATACTCCATTTGAGAAGAAAGACAAATATTTTACCTACTGTTCATACTTGTATCACATTTTTTCCCTTAGAATTGGATTATTTGGAAGTTTTCAGGTGCTCAGTTATAAAATATATGAAATAATTATTCCAACTGAACAAGTTGTTATTTGAGATCCTTAGACTATCCTAAAGTTAACATATGCACCTATACATATAAATTGTTCTGTCACACACTTTAGTTTGTGATGATTTAAAAATTTTAAAGTACTGAGCCTTGACCTTAATTTTCAGAAACAGCCTCACACATTAACAACAGTGAAACTTGGTTTAGATTTTACAAATATGAAACAATGTGGACTGTGTTTTGGTCTCTTAATGTTAAAACTGGCTAATTCTAAGTACTAAAAAATCTGCTGAGCTGTCTGTAAATGGGTCTCTAGTTCTGTTATAAACAAAATTTTCTATTGATATCCCTGATCTCTGCTCCTTGCAGCCCTGTAGGGAACCCAGCAAAGGAGCAGGTGGACTGGTTTTCCTGAGCAGCGTGTCTGTAGCCCATCTCTGGCCTTTCCTGCCAGGTTTCCCCCAGGGGCAGTCATAGTCAGCTCCCCTCCCCCATCCCACATGGGGCGGAGCACTGGGGAACTGTGACGCTGTGACTGATGGAAATCACAGGACCTTGAGTGTGAAGTCAGGTATCTTTAAGATTACTGTAGTCTTTTGCTTCATGAGACTGAATTGATAGAAGTAATTCATTTTTAATATGTTCGAAGTCTTTATCTACTATTGAGAGTTATCAAAAGCAAGAAGGAGATGAAAGCTCTTCCCAAAACTGCCTGTGGGTTCAACTTCTCCAACCCTTGTACCTCCATGTTTGGATTCCTGGAGAGGTGGTTAGCTTTAGTTTTTATCTGTATGTCGTAGTGGAAAGTAGCATCGTGTCCCCAGTGGTGGGGTCAGGGGCACTTTGTCAGTTGTCAAGCATCTAATGCTTATGTTCAGGGGCATTTGTTTCCAGACAGTTCGTCATCATACAGATTAATGTGCAGGAGCAGCCCTGACAGGGAAGCATTTCAGATGCATATGGTGCAGTTATCCTGGTCTGAGACACAGAACTTGGGGTCAGTGGTGAGTTAAGACTTAAAAGCCAGAGCCTGGACTGGGAGTTCTGAGGACGGGTGTCCCCAGGCTTTCTGGGCGGAAGGGGGCAACAGCACTGCAGCTTTCCACACGTGACCTGCTGGTCATCATGGCTCTGCTCCCTCGTAAGTCGTCTGGCCGGCTCTGGAGCACCTTTGACGTGGCCTGGTCTTCAGCGTCCACGATTGAATGGCACTGCTCTTGGCTTCTCAGCACCGAGTGAGGCAGAGGCTGTTGCAGGGAGCTTGGAGCTATTGCTGTACCACCCAGCCTTGGTCTTAGCCATCTTAAAATTGAAGCTTGAGTTTCTCATTTTGGGGTTATAGATCTCTTGACTGGCCATTTTTCCCTCCCATTTGTCTTTTGCTTTACTCTTGTAAAAAGAATCAGAGATCATTGTTACAAAGTTTGATTGAAGGCACTGGAAGCTAAGCAAAGACAATGTTGGATCATTTAATGGCTTGTTTTAATTAGGGAGAGAGGAAACCTAGAATAAGGTGTTCTAGGCTACATGAGTTACCCTTGAAATGAAGTGGGTGAGGTCCCGTATACCACTGTAAAAACTCCCCCGGGGCGATGGGCTTACTAGTTAATGCCAGGGCCTGTTCACCTCTGGGCACAATCAGAGAGCTCTCATGTCTTGTTACTCTTGGTCCTATGGGATGATTTTTCGGTGGGAGTTTATAGATTTTTCAAACAGTGCATTCACAAAATGCTAAGTTTCTTAAAGAAAAACTGATACAAACTGTTAAGATGCTTAAAACAATACTTTACTATGGTTAAGATGTAAATGTACTTCAAAGGGATGGTGCTAAGTGACCCTGCGCTTTGATTTTCCTGATTTGAGGTAAAAAAAAATCTTTGTCTAATAAGCGTCCCCTTTTTCGTAGTATGTGTGTGTGTGCACTCTTATTGGGCTGTGGCGCCACCTCGTGTTCACTTTGCATAATAGCAAGTCATGTTTAAACTAGGAAGGACCCCTGTTCTTTTGCCCATTTTATTTTTTTTTATTTATTTAAAATTTTTTATTAAGGTATGATTGATATATACTCTTATGAAGGTTTCACATGAAAAAACAATGTGGTTACTACATTTACTCATATTATCAAGTCCCCACCCACACCCCAATGCAGTCACTGTCCATCCGTGCAGCAAGATGCCACAGATCCACTATGTCCCTTCTCTGGGCTACACTGTTCTCCCCGTGAGCCCCCACACCATGTGTACTACACATAATACCTCTCAGTCCCCTTCTCCCCCCCTCCCCACCCGCCCTCCCCCACCCCTTCCCTTTGGTAACGACTAGTCCCTTCTTGGAATCTCTGAGTCTGCTTCCATTTTGTTCCTTCAGTTTTGCTTCGTTGTTATGCTCCACAAATGAGGAAACTCATTTGGCATTTGTCTTTCTCCACCTGGCTTATTTCACTGAGCATAATACCCTCTAGCTCCATCCATGTTGTTGCAAATGGTAGGATCTGTTTTCCTCTTATGGCTGAATAATATTCCATTGTGCATATGTACCACATCTTCTTTATCCATTCATCTACTGATGGACACTTAGGTTGCTTCCATATCTTGGCTGTTGTAAATAGTGCTGCTGTAAACATAGGGGTGCATCTGTCTTTTTGAGTCTGATAAGTTGTATTCTTTGGGTATATTCCAAGGAGTGGGATTCCCGGGTCAAATGGTATTTCTATTTTTAGTTTTTTGAGGAACCTCCATATTGCTTTCTGCAATGGTTGAACTAGCTTACATTCCCACCAGCAGTGTAGGAGGGCTCCCCTTTCTCCGCATCCTTGCCAATGTTTGTTGTTCCTGGTCTTTTCTATGTTGGCCATCCTAACTATTGTGAGGTGATATCTCATTGTGGTTTTAATTTGCATTTCCCTGATGATTAGTGATATGGAACATCTTTTCATGTGTCTGTTGGCCATCTGAATTTCTTCTTTGGAGAACTGTCTCTTCATATCCTCTGCCCGTTTGTTAATCGGGTCATTTGCTTTTTGGGTGTTGAGTTGTGTAAGTTCTTTATATATTTTAGATGTTAACCCCTTGTCGGATATGCCGTTTACAAATATATTCTCTCATACTGTAGGATGCCTATTTGTTCTGCTGATGGTGTCCTTTGCCGTTGAGAAGCTTTTTAGTTTGATGTAGTCCCATGAGTTCATTTTTGCTTTTGTTACCCTTGCTCAAGGAGATGCATTCAGAAAGAAGTTGCTCATGCTTACATTCAGGAAATGTTTGCCTGTGTTGTCTTCTAAGAGTTTTATGGTTTCATGACTTACATTCAAGTCTTTAATCCATTTCGAGTTTACTTTTGTGTATGGGGTTAGACAGTGATCCAGGTTCATTCTCTTGCATGTAGCTGTGCAGTTTTGCCAACACCAGCTGTTGAACAGGCTGTCATTTCCCCAATGTATATCCATGGCTCCTTTATCATATATTAATTGACCATATATGGTTGGGTTTATATCAGGGCTCTTTAGTCTGTTCCATTGGTCTATGGGTCTGTTCTTGTGCCAATACCAAATTGTGTTGATTACTGTGACTTTGTAGTAGAGCTTGAAGTTGGGAAGCGTAATCCCCCAGCTTTATTCTTCCTTCTCAGAATTGCTTTGGATATTTGGGGTCTTTTGTGGTTCCATATGAATTTTAGAACCATTTTCTCTAGTTCATTGAAGAATGCTGCTGGTATTTTGATAGGAATTGCATTGAATCTGTAGATTGCTTTAGGCAGGATGGCCCTTTTGACAATATTAATTTTTCCTAATCATGAGCACGGGATGTGTTTCCATTTACTGGTATCTTCTTTAATTTCTCTCATGAGTGTCTTGTAGTTTTCAGAGTATAGGTCTTTCACTTCCTTGGTTAGGTGTCTCTATCCAAGTGGAATTTTGAAGGCCAGAAAAGCTGTATTGATGAGAAGGTATCAGGGGGAGAAAAATTAGTTGGTCATATTAATTAATGACCAAGTTACTGAGCTTTACCTGTTTTGTTAACTCAGTGGTAGGTTCCAGCATCAAGAAAATTCCTAAACTTCTGGTTATTATATCTGAAAGAAGAGGAAAAATGTGGTATTTTCCTCAGCTAGTCTCAGAAAATCAGGCAGGCAGAAGAAGCTCCCTGCTCCATAGCGTGCTGCCTGTGCGCCTGGGCTGGTCAGTGGGCAGCCCCAGATCATCTGACTGCCTCTCAGAGGGGTGCTCCATGTGCAGACCTTAGTGCCATGTAATCTGGAGGCTTGAATGGTTATTTCTGAGAAAAACCCTGGAAGGAACTTCTTGGAGAGTGGATATTTTTTTTTAGAGCTCTCCTAGTTGTGTTTACTGATAGAAGTTGTATGTTTAGTAAAATGGAGAGTACTTACTTCACAGACAGCATTCATTACCTTTCTCGGACATTTCCCAGAGAATTGTTATGTTTAGCTGTGCGCTTTCATTGTCAGTCTTTGACAAATGCTTTGAAATTAAACAGGCACATGTGTGAACACTTCTAAAGGGTTAGGCATTACCATCAGTTATTTTTTTTGGCTGTTGTACTTCATCAGAGAGAAGCCCAGGTACAGCCCCCTGTTCCTGGCTGCTGAGTGTTCAAGCCCTGTGCTCCTTTGGGCTGGGGCCCCACCTGGCAGCAAGGGTTACTCCTCTCTTCCGGGCAGGGCCTGCACAGTGCCCCAGGCACACCTGCCAAGCTGGCTGCCTCACCAGAATACTTGAGAAGGATCAGAGTGGGATTGGCTGAGAGATGACAGAGCTCTCCTCTGCCAGCCTGCCCTTCCCAATCCTAGTGTCCTCAATCCCAGGGCCTCAACGACTCAAAGCCATCCTTCCTCCTCGGGGCAAGTCTGAGGACAGGTCTAAGTCCTCTCTGCTGCTGTCTTTGCGAATGAACTCTTCACTTGATGCGGCATTTTTTTGGTCCATGTTCTTGAACTCACTCAGTTTTCACTGCAGAGTGGTCTTTGGAGTGGTGGTTCTAACTCCTGAACATGAACTTAAGATGCCACTTAGTAGCACAGACTCTGAGTACCAGACACGACCAGACTGTGCTGACTGGCGGTCATAGGCATGCGGCCCGTGATGTGACCAGCTGGATGCGTGAAAACCCTCAGTCTGCCCCAGTGGCGATCAGGACAGAGCTACCAACTCCAGACCTGCTCGCTGTGGCTTCCTCCCGCGAGGAAAGCATTGCCCTTCAGAGAAGTTTACTCGGGGCTCGGGAAAATCCGGCAGGAGGCGTGAGCATAGAAGGGACTCCCCAGGGGTCCCTGCCATGGCCCCCCGAGGTTCTGAGGGAAGGTGAGGAGCTGGGCGAGGCGGCCAGGGGACGGGGGGGCGCAGGGTGACTTACTGAGGCACTGCTTTTGCCTAGATTATCTGGATATAGGTAAGGATTTAGTTTGTTTTAGGGATCCAAATATCTGCCTGGACTTAAATTTTGTATTAAACCAAGTGTATAAACAAATAAATGCATACATATTTCTATCATGTACGTGATATTAAAACATTTCTCTGTTTTCTTCCTCCAGAGTTTACAGATGCTTCCCCAGCAACGGAAAGCCATCGCTAAGTTCAAGGAGCCAGCCCATGCCTTAGCATTTCAGCAGAAGTTCCACAGGTATCCGGTGGGGTGGGGGGTGCGCAGTGCTGCTGTGGGCGTCAGGGGGAGTGCGGCTGCGGCCTGCCCTGCTCCGTGCCAGAGCAGCTGCTCCTTGCATGTCCTGTGCCCGCTAAAGACACTGGGGAGGCTTCTGTCTGTAATGTGGATCGTTTCCTCCTTGTGTTTATATTGTTCTTCTCTGTCAGTCTGCATTTTTATATAATAGATTTTTGTTAATTAGGACTGTTATAAAACAAAAGTCAGGTGAGTAAGTTTGAGGATCTAATCGGCTTTACTAAGCACTTCATGAATCTGGCAGCATCCCCTCTATCAAGTCGAGATGCTCTGTTGAACTGCAGAGAAGGAAGGGGTCTTAAAGGTAGTGAGGGGCTGTGAAAAGGAAACTCTCAGCAGAGAACGCGTTGCTTCCGGCAAGGTCACCTGCCAAGGGGAACGGAAGGGTCTCTCAGTAACCCTCCTAGAGCTGACCAGGAAGGTCCGTGGCGGGCCTGGTCAGTCACATCCTGTGGTGGGGCTGAAACTGCACGGAGGTTGGGTATTTATATTTATGTCTTGGTTTGCTGGTGCAGCACCATCAGCACAAGAGACTCCATCTTCTGGGTCCATGGTTGTCTTTTTGATGGGACCCACCACTGCACCCTAGCTTACTTTTACGTCAGTAAGTTGCTGCTGTGCAGAGTCCCCTTAATGGTGATTGTCTCTTTACATTTCCACAGGCACATGATAGATTTGTCCCACATAAACGTGGCCCTGATAGTTGAGTGATTTCTCACAGGAGAGGCTGACCTTTCACTGTCACATGCTGTGGGAGTTCTGCAGGGAAGCTGCCGGCACAGAATCCCCACGAGCTGGGGTCTCCATCCACAGTCTTGTGTAACTATTGTCCAGACAGCCACATGACCCGGCCTTGATTCCAGAAGAGCTGAACTTACGGGACATGGCAGACTGCAGTTTGGTGTTAGATTGCTTCAAATTCTGTTGTCACCACGAAGGACTACATTTTTGTTTCCTTTTTGTTTTCAAAGTGCTTACAATGCATGTGGACGTTGTTCTTCATGATCTTACCGTATGATCGATCACAGTGACTTAGATTCAGGAAAGAATATTAGCGTCACAATTCTAAGTATTTTGCACAGCAAAGAATATTTGATAATGGTTGCACTTATCTTCAGTGCAGGCTAGACAAGTTTTCCCAACCAAGCTTAACTTTCATTGTCTTCTCAGAAAGCCCTCAAAGGCTCTTGTAAAAACGTAGATGAAAATTGGGTGATTCTGATTTGACAGGTGCATATCCTGGAAAGCAGGGTGTCAGGGTGGTTGGGAGTGGTGCCAGGTGTGTGGCAGGTGATTCTGCTTCTTAGAAATATTCCTAAAGCACCAACCCATGTATTCCTAGTTCCACAGGGAAGTAGCCACCCCTCGTTACGCTCTTGCCAAATAAGAGAAAACGCTGGTAGGTCCTCCTGAGCTTCCCTGGGCTTGGAGAAGGTGTCAGTGTGTTCGCCCTCATGGCGCCCCTGCTTCTGCGGGTCGCACAGCCGCACAAGGCAGAGGAACAGCCTGGAGCTTGAGTGGATCTGTTTGGTTTTTCCTCTTTTTAAAGTAACCCAAAGTGGCACATTTATGTTACGGGCTCTGCGATGTATAATATTCTTTGGGAACCTGGTTATCATTGCTTTGATTAATTTTTTTAAGGCCTTTTGAGCAGGGGCTGTACTGTCCTTGAGTGGACCTAATATCAAGGTGACATTTACGTGGGCATGTCCCTCCTTGGGGTATGTAGTGTGAGGGACGGCTGTCTTACAGAGCAGCAGGGCCCACAGTGAACTGTGTCTGTGTCACCCTGAACCTACTAGAGTGATCTTGGGCAGGCTCCTGTAGGTGAGAGACTGATTTCCCACAAAGCAATCTTTAGTAAAATTCATTCTGGGCAAACACTGAAAAAAGTGCCTTACTGTATTTCTGCTCATGAAAGAGTTTCACTATTTTGGATTTCTCCTAATGTAGTTGTGAATTATTTGAGCAAATGATACTAGGGCATACTCAGACTTTTGTGCTATATTTTATACCTAAGATTTTACATCCAGTTCGTTAATAGAAATAAGGGAAATAGAAGCCTGTTAACTATTTGTGCCTCTGGTCAGCCCAGCAAGGAGCAGCCGCGGACACGAAAGCCCGACAGCACAGCGGCCTTGTGCTCCTCTGCCTCCTGGGGGGCCCAAGGCATGGGCCGCGGGAGCTCCTAGCATCTTGTTCTCGCAGTTGAAATTTTATATTACTCACCAGAAGGGGAGGAGCCCATTCCAGACTCTGCGAGACTTTCTGTAGTGTTGCTTCTGAAGTGGCACTTCTGAAGTGGCACTGTGCGCTGAGGGCAAGTGTGGGAGAGCAAGGGGCTCCTAGAGGTGGCTGTCCGCCAGCCGGTTCCAGGCCCAGGAAACCACAGGCACTCGTAGATACACCAGAACACCCCCCAGCTGAGGGGCCCGGCCACCCTTGTTCCAGAAAGTGCCTTCCTAGCCCTGCAGGAGGCTTCTGTGTGCCAGCCGTGCCCTGAGACGCTCCCTGGGTCGTCCTGGGGTCAGTGCTGTGTGCCGTCAGCTGCGGGACACAGGTGTCTCTGCCCCCTTGGCATATGTAGGTGCAGATGGGGATGTATGCAGAGTCATTTCTTCGGGTCTCTCCACAGAGAGCTGCATTGAAATGATGAGTTTCGTAGTCCATAGGCTGTAAGAGACCCAGACCACTTCTGCGCTGGTTAGAGGGAAGGCTAACAACTGATGGACTGATCTTATTACCAAGAACTTACTGACACAATAAGTGAATTTAACAAATTTTTACCACTCTCTGAAATAGTCTGAGTGTGCTGTGGCTTTGAAACTAAGAATCTGCATGTTGTCTCTGGAAAGTAGGCTTTTAAGTGTACTTTTTTCTAGTTAGTGATGATGAACTAACCCTGTTTGGGCACCATTGTTCAAGGCGGACCTCATGGCTACTTAAGGTCTATTTTTGGCATGGTCTGAGCGTGACATGGGTGCCCCGGGATGGGACATGTGTGTCTGTAATTGTCTGCACACACACCTAAGGAAACTTCCTTTGATACGATGTTTTTGAAAGACCAGTAGCAAAGCTGAACTGGGTCTTCACTAAAAGCACTGGTTAGAATGGCTCAGTGCAACTGGCCTCTGTCAGCGCGCACAGCCAGTGGGTGTGGACTTCAGTAGCGCCAGCCCAGTCCAGTAGCAAAGGCTATTAGTCTCCTGGATACTGTGGAAAAGCAGGGAAGCAGAACTAGAAGGCAGTGTTGTTTGCATTTTTGGGGCACTTCTCACAGTGAAATCAGACACCATAAGCGAGCCCTCTTGGAAGATCTGTTGCAACCATTATCTTTGTTCTTTACTTACCATGCATTTAAAATGAGATGCAAAAGCATTTAACATACTGTGTAAATATGGATCTTTTAAAATTAAAACCTTATTGGAAATATTTTCAATTCAGCAACATCTGAGTAGCTCTATGTTAGTTCTTTTCGTGTTGTCTTACCAGAGTTTAATGGATATAGTTCCGTAAGTGTTGATGTTTTGTGTCTATGTTCGACTTTTATAAAGATGGTAGTAAGTCAATACATTCACCCTGACCTGTGTATCATTTGTTCACAAAGTCAAGAAGCTTAAAGCCAGTAAATACCAATATATCTCATAAGGTGAATATATGGGGTGACTGGCACCAAGGCACTTTTCTTCTGGCATTACCTTGTTTTGATCATGTGATGTATTAAGTCCGCCCAGCTGCTGTCTGAGCGTAACCTTTGCATTACCATTGGTCTGGCCACGTTTGTTGAATCCTCATACTGGTAGTCCTCTAAAGGAAAAATCTCATCTCTTTTTTCCTAAAAGAAACGGAAGGTTCTGCCCTTCTGGACAAGACACCTTTGTAGGCACCCCAGGGGAGTGGAAGAGAAGGGGCCTCATAACTCTTTGATTTGGGTTTTTTGATTTGGTCTTTCTCATGGTTTGTCAAGGTCCCGGAAAAACAACTGTCTACCCTTGGTTCTCTAGCATTTCTGGTCTGTGACAGAGCGTAGATCTTTTCTCCAAGCTTTGTTGCTAGAAGGAGGCTGGAGAGGTGTCCGGGGTGAAGGGGAAGGAGGAGAGGTGGGGGCGGGGGTGGGGGTAGAGGCCTGTGTTAATAAGGGGTTTTGTTCTTACACCCTGACTCTAAGGGGAGTCAGTGCCAGCCGGAGCCCCACGGTGGCCTCGGTGGACGATGGCTCTCCCTGCAGGGAAGGGTGCCTCTACCTCGGCCCCAGGGGCCGGCAAGCAGAGGCCTGGCGGGTCAAGCTTGGGGCTGGTAAGACCTGAGGTCCAGCCCTGCTTCAAGGGTTGATTTTGAGAACCTATCACTTCCTTTCTTTTTCCTTTTTTGTTTTTATTTTTGACTTGTGGTTTTTGTTTTGTTCCGTTTATTTTGTGTTTTATTTTTTTTGTTATTTAATTGAAGGTAAGCGCCACTGCTGGTAGCCTTTGGGCTGACAGGGACCCTGTTTGAGGACAGTGGGGATTCGGCAGGTGCTGCGTGCAGCATGCCTAGAGTTGCCCCCTCAGTGTCCTGCAGAGATCCCCTGCCGGCTGTTGGGAAGCGCATCCCCAGTGAGTGCCCGCTGCCCCCGGGCACATGGCTTCCAGCTCAGTCCCTGTCACTGTACCCTTGTTGGGGTCATTTTTAATTCTCCCTTCCTTCCTGCTTGTAGGTCTCCTTTCTGGCCTCACAGACTCACTGATAGACCTACTTCACTTTTCTTTAGTCAGGGAGAGCCCCCCACCCCACCCCACCCACCCCCTGGGGGGTAGTTTGGAGTGGGAGTTGTTAGGGGAGAAAAACCAGAAAGTTTTTGTTGAGTCTTTACAGATTAAGTGACAGTTTTCTTAAAGAGAATCCCCTGATGGGGGTAGGGGGGTGGATGATAAGAGATGGGACCGGGAGGGGCCCCCACCCCCCGCCAGTGAGGAAAGCCACCAGAGTACATTAGTTGGCGGCAAGTTTAGATATTTTATTGTGTTCGGTGAGCATTTCAGTTATCCTTTTCAACTATTTTTAAAGCTTGTGAATAAGTGTAATTTTGGACATTGGTAAATATGAAGTCTTCCAAGGCATTTAAGCCTTGATTTACTATTAAATCCTAAGGATTTTGTGTAAGGTTTTTTTGCAACCTATTTAATTTTCATCATTTTAAAGTACCCGTGGTTTTGTGCCCTAGAACCAGAGCAGAGCCCACTGATTCATATTGGATCCCATGTATACCTCCTGCTGGTAGCTATGGTTGGGAAGGATCATTGGTTTACAGACTGTAACCTGCCTCTTCTAGAGAATGTTTAAAAAAATCTTTTCTGTGCCATGTTTTGATAGAAAATCTTAGTTTTAATTAAGAAGAGCAGGTAGAACAGGTATTTTTCATGAGAAATTACTTTTTCCTTTTCCTTTTAACCAATGAAAATGTAAAAAGGTCTGGATGTTGGTGTTTGGTATATTTAACTCATTTTGAAAGGTATGTAGAAAAATATAGGCCCTTTAAAACAAAAGCATTTAACATTTTACTCTGCTGCACAGAGTGGACAGACAGGTACTATTTTAATGCAGCCTGTGTTTCTTAGTAATTTAATATACTCTAGAAAGTAGATGTCAAGACATCGTTTTAGAATGATTTTCTTTTAAACCGCTTTTCATTTTTAGGGCCCACACAGAGAGGAAGGACTGTTCCCATTTGTGTGCACGGTAGTATTGTCTTAGAATATGTAATTTGGGTTTTCAAAACCACACACACAGCACCCACTTCACACTCGACAGAAGAGATGATGACTTGTCTTCATACTTCAGCTTTGCTTTTCACAGGCATGGGATCCAGAGTGGTTTTCCCGTGGGAGGATTTTAACTCCAGTCTTTAATTCCATCGTTTAACTTTCAGGTTCAGCGATATCAAAGCCTGAGATCTAATTTTTTTTTCTTCCATTTCTGAGCTGGTTCTCTTGGTTGGGTGTCCATTCTCGTCTGGCCCCTGCCGCCTGGTGGCCAGACCTCCTCTGCTCCACTGTCCTTCCCATTCTCTCTTGCTTGCCTCGCCAAAACCCATCCGCCGTCCGCCGTGAGAGCCCTTTCCAGGCTGCCGCCCTCTCTTCTTCTGCTTGCCTGTCTCTGGATGTCTGCCCCTCCCACCACCCGCTCTTAGTGACAGTCGGCACCGAATTCTTGCCCCTCCACCCATTTTAACATTCAGAGCCCCCCTGGGGGTTCTAAGTGCTGGGAGTACTTTTGCCATGTGTTACAACCCATCACATCTAAACCTTTGCTTCAACAGGTTTTTACTCTTGGTTTATTCCTCCAGGTCTTGGTTGGAGAGCATAACATTTGACTTGTGTTATTTTGCAGTTTGACAGGAGTGTGTGGCGCTCCAGAGATGCTACCAGCACCCTGCAGCCTGAGGGTCGCAGCGTGATTGATTAATCACCCTTCTCTACTCTTGCAGGACCTCTTTTGCATGAGTTCAGTGTTAGTAGTAGCGCTGTTGTTCCGCTCGGAAGTGACGGCCTGTTGACCCTTTGTCACTGCTCTCGCTGACGGTGATCCTTCCTAACCTTATGCGAATGCGCTGTACACGCTGGTCCAGGCCAGCCTCGATGTGGAGTCTGAAGCTGTGTGTATTGGCAGTGCGTTCAGAGTCCAGAACTTGAGAGATGCTCAATTGCTTTCCTCTGGGTTGACCTGCTTCGTGCTTTCTGCCAAACACACTGCACTGAAATTTGTTGGAAAATGATGTTGCCTTGATTTTTACCCCGTTTTTCCCTTTGCAATAATCGCTGTGACAGCTTTGTCAGGAATGTATGTGAAGAACAGTAATGACTTAGTTGGAAAAGAATGTATTGTTGTGTATCATTTGTGTGATTTCATGCTGACGGATGTATCTTAACTGTATTGTAATTGGAAAGATGTGTGAATAAAATACCATGTGGCTTCCGCTCTTGTTCTGTAGCTTTATTTTATCTTGCCACTCAGATTGGGTCCCTCCCACTCTTACCCACGTGGACAGAGACAGCACCGCGGCCATCTCTTAAAGGGCCAGGAATATTTTTTCCCCAAAGCATGTGGGGAGCCGTCCCCAGGCCCCCCAGATTTGCCCCTTCTTGGGCAGCTGACAGCCTTCTGGTGGGTGTCTAGTCACACATATGAAGGTCAAATTGACCGCTAGTCTTTAGCCTTGTTCCATAGTCTGGATGACTGTAGATACATCAGCGCATTTTGTTTCTTTTGGGAAGGGAGTAATACTCTTTAAGAAGATTTTTAAAGCATTACAAATAATTTTTCCAGTTTTTGAAAAGACATTTGGGCAGTTGCACTATAATCCTAACACTGACCGTGCAGACAGCTGCAGATAACACCTTTCCCCGCCTGTCTCCGGACATGGGTTTTGTCCCGCGCGCGCGGCATGTGTGAGAAGGCGGAAGCACAGCGCCCTCTCTACCTCCCGATGAACGGGCCTCGGCGTTCTTGTGTCACTACAGATTGTGCGTAATTCATGGTCTATTTTGAAGATAATGTTTTTAAAGTAGCCCCACGCCTTCCCAGCAAACATTGTTGAAGGAACTGAAGGCAGGAGCCTTCGCCCAGACCTGAGCACCAGCTCCCGTGGCTGGGGCCCCTGTGGTGTCTGCGCTGGGACCCAGGTGGGTGACTCTCACTGGTTCCACTACACTCTTCACCTTCTACAACCCACCTTTCTTATCTGTAGAAAGGGAGCTTATCTTGTGAAGATTAAGAAATGGTATTGAAATATACGACCACCGTGCTGGCTCAGTAAGGGCGTTATCTTTGTCCCTTGAGTTGTACTAGCCCCTGTGAGGCTCTCTTGATGTCTCTGTGCGCTTTATGGGACAAAAGAAAACCAACTGTGTTACCCCCTTAGGAGTCATAAGGTTGCTTCTTGAAGGTGACTGTCACTCTCCATCCTGGGCCACCTGTCAGGGCCCACGGAGGTCCATTCTCGGAGCATTTTGCCTGTTCATAGCACGTGCCTGTGCACAGCCCCAGACGCAGAACTCTGTCCTGCTGCCTCAGTGGCATCCACACAAAGACGCGAGTCCCATCAGCTGCACGGCCCAGGAAGCGGGGGACCCTCGGGCCTGGGCACAGAGCCCACGAGCAAGGTGCAGCCATGCTACTGTCCGGCCGTGAGCCCTGCTGGTGGACTTGCTGGAGGAAGGGGACTCAAATCCCAGACAGGCCAAGTTGGCAACAAGATATCGACCAAGTCTCTACTTGGGTCCAAACTTGTGCCTGGGGGATAAAGGGAAAGAGGGCAAGTCATGGGGACCTTCCCAGACCTCCCACAATTAGGTTGGGGAGTGCAGGTGTGGAGGGCAGTGGAGGCTATAAACAGGAGGGGAGCCCCTCGGCGTTTTGGGGGCACAGAAGCCCCATGCTCAGCCTCGCGACTCTGGCCTGAAAGGTTGGGGCTGCACGCAGGGGCGGGAACAGGGCCTCAGACTGAGATGTGTTGGCGGGGAGCCCTTGGCAGGAGTGGAAGAGGCACGGGGTGGAAAGCAGCCTTGGGCCCCCCATGTCCCCCAGGGGCCCTAACGCTGGTGCCTGCTGGGCTGTCCTTGGGCCTGCGGCTGATGGCCTGGGGTCAGCAGGGGGCGCCACAGACGATAGTGGTCGGAGCAGTCCTGCAGCTTCACGCACCCCAACCTCATGAGCACCCGGCCCACAGCCACCTGCTGCCGGGAAGGAATAGGCTGGAGACCCTGGCCACAGGCTCTCTGGGGCCTTGTGGTGCTCGGAGATGCACCCAGCATGCCCACCTACCTTCCACAAGAACCCAGCCCAGCCCTGGGGGCCCAGTGCACCCCAAAGCCCCATCGCTGGTGCCCCAGGCTCTGGGCTCTCAGAAGAGACAGGCCCCTTAATCCACTCCCCCTGCCCACAGCCCTTCGCCTTCAGCGCGCCCCGAGGGTGGCAGGCCTGGAGGTGATGGCCGGATTCTCCCTCCAGCTCGGCGCCTCGGGGATCCGCTAAGGTGGGCTCCCTTTGCCTTGGGGCTACTTGCCTGAGACCCCAGGTCCGTGGAAGAACCAGATACCGCGTAACCACGGACCAACTGCTATCCTGGCTGCACCCCAGCTGCATCCTGCCTGCCCGGCCTTCCCTGAACTCCAGACTCAAATTGCCCTCAGATTCTGTGTCTTGAAGGCATCTCAGACTTGATACAACTGAACTCCCCACCTTTCCCTCCAAACCTGCTCTGCCGCGTCCCCTCCCTGTCACAGCCAATGGCAGCTCCTTTCCTAAGAACTCTGGGCCCCAAACCTCGGGGCCCTCTTTGCCCCCACGCCTCGGGAGTCCATGCTAGCACACGCCGAGGGCTTCCGGTCTGTCGGCTGCCAGCTGGCCGCGCTCTGAACTGCTTCCTGGTGTCCACCCTTAGCCCCTCAGTCTGTTAGCGAACATCAGCTGGAAGAATCCTGTGAGTATCCCACCGGACTTAACTGACCAGAGAGTTAGCCAAACCCATGTTGGCAGACATTTAGATCATGCCCAGCGTGTAGATACAAGTCACGTTGCCACAGCCATTCTTGACTCCTCTTAAAGGGGCTCCTGATGGTAGAATTGCTGAGCCACAGTTTGCCTGTTTTCCGTTTTGATGCATTTTGTTTACAGTGCTCCGGAACAGTCACTCGGTTCTACCAAACCCCACTCCCGTGCCTTGGAGTGCCCATTAGGGGCATGGCCTTGTCTGAGACCCTGCATGAGGCACAGAGTATTTGTGATCTGTGGTAGCAGGAGTTACCTGTTGAGATAAGCCAGAACCTTCCAGAATGATGGCTTTGGAAGCAATCTAGATACCAGATGCTGGGCCCCCATGCCCTCACTGTCTCAGGTTCATGGTGGAGAGAGGGGACGTACTTAATGTAACTAAGGGACTGGGAGGGCTGATGGGTTTGAAGCATGTTGCCGGATTGCCGGAGGTCTCTGCCCTGAAGCCCGCCAGGGTGGGGAAACGACCCCAGCACGCCTGCAGCCCCCCTGGTATCGGGGCAGGGTGCCTTCCCTGTGTGTGGAGAGGCCCCCAGACACCCTGCACTGTGGCCCAGGGACCGGCATTTGGGGGCCTGGGGTCTTGAGAGCCGCCTCCGAGGTCCTGCCCGGCCAGCTCTCTTCCCTCCGCGAAGAGAAAAGGAAAACTGAAGCGGGACGGGACTTGAGGCCAATTCCTGGCGCTCCTCCAGCCCGGCTTTTGCCACCTGAGCCCTGAGGTGACCTGGGGTCTTTTGGCTTGCACTCTGTCGCACTGGTCGCTGTGGCCCGCGCCGCCCCATGCTCCGCTCTGCCCCCTGGTGTCCAGAGGGTTCTTCTGCTGCTCGCCGCTGTGGCCGTGGGCTGCCTGTGGCCAGCGTGCTGGCCGCTGCATCTTGTTCTTCCCCCGCCTCTTGCGGGCAGGGCCCACACTTCACACTTGCTTCCAGGGGGCAACACCAAGCCACCGGTGATTACAGCGTGGGGGTGAAGCCTCGAGGTGCCCCTCCTGTCCCATCTGCTCCCACATGCCCCCATGGCCAAGGCCAGCCAACCTGTGGCATGAAGTGTGGTGTGCCTTGTCGCTGATGTGGTTATTGCCCTGATGAGTCTTAAGAAGATGCAAAAGCAACTCAGTAAATTCCGTGTTTTAACAATACCCTTTTATTTTGCTGCAAATAGGAAGTTATATTGATTGGGGCCCCCCAGAAGGTGTTTACATTCTCAAGCTACCCCACCCCCCCACCCCACAGACATCTCCCCAGTCTGTCCTGGCCTCCGTCTGTTTCCAGGGGATCTTTTGGCTTTGGGGCACTTCTCCCTTGCTGAGCTCATCGGGGTTGGGGGGCCCTGTAATAGCTTCTTGGGCTGTGTGTACTCCCCAGTGACCCCAGGAGTGGTCGCACCTGGGCAAGTGCTGGGAAGGCGCCTGCCGCTCCCCGTGTGCACCCTGCCCACCTCTGCTCCTTTTCCTGAGAAAGGGCCTGAGGCCGGTCAGAAAGCTGTGTCCAGGCTTCCCAGCAGATGGTGCCCTGCTGCGGGGCAGGGGCTGGGGCAGGCTGGCTTCCAAGAGGCCAGGCCTCAGAGGCCGCCACGAGGCGGAGGGCCTCTGTACTGCCTTTATTCTCTGCAGGGTGTTCGTTCTGTCCTCCATTAACTGGTGCTCAGCCCACGGAGGCCTGCAGCCGGGGCCCGGAGGGCACAGCAGGGGCCGGACAAGCCCAGGAGCCTCCTCTCCCCTGCTCGGACAGTCCGGTGTGGGGGCCTTGGGAAGAGCGGCTGCGGGCTGCACGGCCTGCTGTCGGGGAGACCAGTGGACAGTGCGGGCAGCACGCTCTGAGCCACCCGTTCAAACACACACCTTTCCGGCGCCACCATGCAGTCTTGGAGAAACGCTGGCTCTCGCGTTAGTTTCCTCATCTGTGAAGACACCGGCGCCCGCTCTGTGGGGAGGCTGCAGCTTGTTGGACCGTGCGGTCACCGGGTGGGGACAAGACTGGAAGGGGAGAAACGGGCTCGGGGGGCGGGTCACTGACTCCTCCACGTGAACTCCAAGGGCTGGGCAGCGTGAGGGGAGGCACGGGGATGCCTGCAGGTTTTCCTAGGCACCTGGACCAGCTGCACAGGTTTTTGATCGATGCCTACTGACCACTGACCCATCTGAACCAGAGGCCCGACTGCAAGCACTGAACCCAGATGGCTGCCTCTGCCAGCCCATGGCCCCCATTTGCATAGGACGTGAGGCAAAGCTGTTCGAGGGCCCTCCATGTGGGCCCTGAAGGCCCTGCCTGGGGACAGGAACAGTCCCCCACTGGCGTTGCCCACCCTCTGCCCCTCCAGGACCCTGGAGGCCACACACTACTGTCCCCAGAGTGCTCGCCCACACTACTCCATGTCTCCCCAAAGTCACTCTCAGAGAGGGACTGGTGTCTCAGCAGTGGCTCCGAGGGC